TCCCTAAGCCTGGATAGTTCCAAACTCAGACAAAGGACAGAGGGGCGGTTCGTTCGGGGACGGGCAGGTCCAAGCCGCCAGCCAGGTGGCAAACGGTCTTGAAATATCCCAGGTGCTGGGACCAGGAGAAGGTGAGGGGGTCAGCCACTGCCCAGGGTGTCCCCAGTTCAGCAAGCTGCAGTGGCCTAACCCCTGTCCCTGTCTTGCCGGTGAGGAAACCGAAAAACCAGGACACACAGAGTTTTGCCTACGCCACACAGCAGGTGACAGCTGGCTCGGCTTTCTTACACCATCGAGCCAACGTGTCCCCCCAATTCATAGGTTGATATCCTAACACCCCAGGACCTCAGAATTTGACCTCTTTGGAGATGGGTCTTTACAGAGGTGATCAAGTTAAACTGAGGTCATGCCCACCTGGTGTGGCTCAGTGGTGGAGTGTCGACCCAGGCACCAAGAGGTCGCCAGTTCGATTCCCAGTCAGGACACATGCCCAGGTTGTGGGCCCATTCCACGGGGGGGCATGCAGGAGGCAGCCAATCGATGTTCTCTCTCATCGATGTTTCTATCTCTCCCTCTCCCTTCCTCTCTCTAAAAATCAATAAAGAAAAACAATTTTTTTTTAAATAAAGTGAGGTCATCGGGGTGAGCCCTAATCCAATGTGACTAGTGTCCTCATGAAAAGAAGAGACTGGGACACAGACACACACAGAGGGAAGACACTGTAGGGACACATGGAGAAGGCCACCTACAAGCCAAGGAGAGGCCCAGGACGGACCCCTCCCTCCCAGCCCCCAGAAGGAACTATTCCTGCCTCGTTCGTGGACTCGGGCGCACAGAACTGTGAGCAATGCCGATTCACTCGAACTGCCCGGTGCGCGGCGGCCCTGGCAGACTAATACAACCACCCGGGCCTCGGTTTCCCCATCTGTGCTTGGTGCAAATCCTGGGGCCACTTCCAGCCTGAGTGCTCAGCCACCCTGCGAGGTATGGCAGGAGGGGGCGGCCGGGGTACGGAGGGGGCAGGGAGGCTGGGGGCTGCTGGGTCCGCCTGGCCCGCTGCCCGCGCTCCCCCCGTGGCCGCCCACTTGCCCAGTGTGAGGCAGCAGGGCGAGCTTCTTGCACTTTTGTAAAGCTGGCTTCTGGGCGCACAGAGGCGTCATTTATCAGCCCAGCAGGGGAGTTAACCGAGAGAAAGACGCAGCACAGGCCCCAGCCCCCACGCCCCAGCACGGCCGGGCACAGAGAATCCACAGGAAAAATCATAACGTGTGCAGCGGCTCGCGATGAATCATCGCAGAGGAAGCAGCTGTGTTGATGAAATGTTAACGCTGACAAGAGAAAGAAAATACGAACGGCAATACAGTAATTTCGTCTGTGAGCACTCTGGCACATTTTTAATTAAAGCTATTTTGGAGTTAAATAGAGGCCGTGGCGGCAGGAATCCAGAGGCTCTCTGCCCTCCTGCCCAAACCCCAAAGCCACATCCCCTGAAGAAAGTTCAAAGAACAATATTGCTCTCTCCGGCTCTTTGCCAACAGGCAGACTCCTCACCCTGCAGAGCTGCAGATTTCTGTGCAATTTGATTTCAGTGACAGGACTTACGGGCCAGAATCTTAAAACCTCACGAGCCAGAGCTCACGAGGCCGAGGCAAGAATCCCACCCACAGTAGCCATCACTTCAAGGTTCCCGAACATAGTCGTCCATCTATCACTTGATTACCTCCATAGATGATACACTCACTACCTTATAAAGCAGCTCTCCTCTGGTTAAGCAGACCTTCGCTATTCTGGGCAAGAACCAGCCTCCCCTCTTCGCCTAGGACTCTGGGCAGGGGGCAGCCAGGGGCTCCCCAAGGTGCATGCACTCAGTCCAGCTAGGCTGAGCTTTGGGGACACAGATGTGACCACTCAGACCCAGAAGCCCAGTCCTTGAGGAGCTGACAGTCCAGCAGGGGTGGGGGCCACGCTTCCCACAGGAGGATCCTGAAAACCATCAGCAAGTGTGGGCAGCGCGTGGGCTGAAAGCTCAGACAAGGGCCAAGCCCCTGGAAGGGTTGGGAACTGCTGGCAGGAGGCCACGCCTGAGCCGGGAGCCACGACTTGCATGAGGCCAGGAGGACAAAGGCTAAGTAAACCCCATCTTCCCAGCACCCCCTTAGCATAAGGCCAGTACACTCACCGTGGGCCAAGTCCTGGCCACGGGGCTCTCCCCACCTCTGCTGTCTGCTGTCCTCCAGCAGCCCCCTTGCACATGTGGTCCCTCTGGGTAGGACAAGGTGGTGGTTGGGCAGGGACAACAGTGACTGGACAGTGAGCACCCTGAGGGCAGGCCTCTGCCTGGCCGCCCCTGCACCCCCAGGCCATGCACATGGCAGGTGGTCACTTACACACTGAGGGAGTACCCAGTTTACAGGTGAGCAATCAGAGCCTGAGAGGCAGGAAGTAGTCTGAGGATCCTTACAAGGCTGGTACGATCTGAGCCCCCAGGAATCCAAAGGCAAGCAAGGTGTGACCTGCCCCCAGGAAGCCCTAAACAGACTGGGGGTGGGAAGGGGGCCTCTTCACACCGTCTCTCCGGCTCTCATTTCTCCTGCATGTCTCAGAACACCAGCAGCCTCCTCCACGCCCAGCAACACCCGCCCACCCTCAAGGCCAAGCTCTGGTGACAGCCGGTGGCAGGGGAAGCAGAAGCCCCATCCGTGACCCTGGAGATGCTCTGCCGACGCGCCCGGCGCCAGGATGCCTGTGCTGGTCACAGGTCGAGGGCCAGACGGGGCAGGTGGGTTCACAATGCCCCCACCAGCAGGGCCGAGGTCCCTGCACCACACGGCAGCCCCCTTGCTGACACCCGCTCGCGGAGGGACCTGAGGAGACCCGGGCCCACCAGCAGAGGCCCTGCTGAGGAAGAGATGAGGAGGGGCCTAAGTAGCCGCCCCCACGACATGCACAGGCCCACACAGCTGCCACCAGGGCAGCTCAGATTCTCAGGCTTCGTTCAGGAAGAAAAGTCCCATGGACCTCAGGTGCTGGAACTGTCCGCTCTGAGTGGCCTGGGCCCGCACCTCTCCCATTCCAGCAACGAGCCAGCAAAAGCACGTCCTGTCCCTGAAGCCCCATCAGACTGCCTGCAGCCAGCCAGCCCGGGTCTGGGTAAGGTCTGCAGCCCCCAGCTGACAGTGTCGGTGCCCCGCGTGCCTGGCCCAGGTGTGGGCACAGGTAGGGGACAGAACCCCGCTGCTGCTGCCTCCAGGCCAACACCCCAATCCTAGCCCTGGGAGAAAGTAGAGCTGGCTGGGGAGGGGGAGGGGCTGCCATCCCCCTGATGCCCAGACACAGGGCCCTGTCCACTTCCACCTCTGCACACGTGACCAGGGGACACGGCCAGGGGGCTCTCCGTGAAGCCAGGCGGTGCCAACAGGGAAGAAGGCGAAGGGCCGCCCTTCATAGCCTGAACATGTGCTCGCTTCCCACAAGTTCACGGCCAGGTCCACCACCTGGGGCTGGGGGTGCGTTTTCCCAGTGGGACAAGGTGGCCTAAGAGAGAAGGGGCCATGGGGTCAGGGACACTCCTGTCGTTGTGGAAACAAGACCACAAGCAACGCTTCGGCTGGACCCCGGAACAGGGAGCTCTCTCCCTGCTCCTCCGGGGAGCAGTGGAACAGAAAACGGCAGAGGGGGGCGGACCTGCACGGCCACGACCCCCCTCGGGACTTCCGCCATCAGATGGGGTCCTGGCCTTCATTCCCTGCACAGGGCTGGGCAGCTCCCTCCCCTCTCGCTGGCTGAGCCCAGGGCTGCCCCTGTCACCCGGGGTCCCTGGCATCACTCCGCCAGAGCTCCCGCAGCCCACCCCACACCCCTCCTTAGCGACCACGGCCAGCCCAGGTGAGGTCCGCGTGGAATGCTGGGTGTAGGGGCCCCAGCCCACAGCCAGGTAAGACCCGCCCCTCCCTGCCCTCTCCAGCCCCAGGAGCCAGCCCAGGGCCGAGCCTCAGCCCTCACATCGCCACAGGAAGTGACAAGTCGAGCCTCGCCGTTCAGTGCCTGGCTCTGCACCTGAGGTGGGGGTGCAGGGCTGAGGGGGAACCCAAACCTGGGCCGTGAGCTCTGCCAAGTCCCACCGGGCTGCGGGAACTGTCTGCGAGGCCACACGAGTGAGGCGTGGAGCTGTGCTCCGTGCTTGGCCCGCGAGCCCCCCGCAGCCGGCAGCCCGAGGGCGTCCTGCATGGGGCAGAGGCACCGTGCCCGCCGCTCACCTAGCAGTGGGGCCAGGCAGCTGAGCCCTCCCTGGGGCTGGTTCCCAGAGAAACACTGGGCATCCCAGCCAGCTGGCCACCACGGAGCAGGGGTGCTGCCGAGGAAGGGGGTGAGACTGAGGCAGGGATGGGGACTAGGGGACAGGCTAGGGAGGTCAGCCAAGCCAGCTGGCCCCCGGGCCCCAGCCAGGGCGGACCCCAGCTCCCACCCAGCCCACCCTGCTCCGGTCCCACGCCCTGCTCTGCCCTCCCTGCCGAGGCTCTAACCCGCCGTCCCTGTGCTGGGGACGTGCTGGGGTGAGACGTGGCTTCATCAGTCTGCGGGCACCAGCCAGCCCCAGGAGGAAGGATGACTCCAGCCCCCAAAGGACTGGGTGTGGCAGGGGCGAGGAGGTTCCCACGGGGTCTGAGTGAAGCTCGCCAGCCCACCTCTGGGGCCTTGCTTCACCTGTCCACCAGGGGGCACAGCAGCCCATCCCCTCAGTGACTGTGTCTGCACCATCTCTGGGACAGACCCAGTGTGACCCCCAAAGAGCTCAGAGTCCCCTGGGGGACAAAGAGGGACAGGACCTGATGGAGGTCCCCAGAGGCCGTGGAGCGAGGGTCAGGTGTCAGCATCCCAGGAGATGACTTGGGGCGGGAGTGGCGGCGGTGGGGGTTGCGGGTGTGAAGAGGGCGGAGCCGGGAAGCTGACACCGGCCCAGAGGCAGCAGGCTCGCCCTGCGCTCGCCCACAGCAGCCTACCTGTGCGAGGAGCTTGTCACCCTCCAGCAGCTTCACCTTGGTCTCCAGCTGTCTGATGTAGGTGGACGAGGGATCTGCAACACAAGAGGACACATCCACTGTCAGACTCGGTCCCCAGTGGGAGAGTTGCCCTCCCCACACTCCTGCAGAGAGATGAGGGGTCCCCTTGCCAGCTCGTCCTGGGCTGACTCTTTCAGCCTCTGCCATGCTTTGGGTCCAGAACAGCCCTCTCAAACACCCCTGATGGGACCCTCACTGCCAAGGGTCCAGGTGGGGAAACTGAGGCTCCTGAGCATGGCCACCCAGCATCAGGGGCCGTCCGCTGCACCATACCTGATGTGCAGAACCCCACAGCGGTCTGTGGGGCGGGCACACGGGCAGGTGAGCCTCCACCTTTCCTGCGAGACTCTTACCAGTGCAGCCGGCAGGAGCCAGGCCAGCGACACGCCCCAACACGCGCCTAGATTCTGAATGAGCAGGAGGTAAAATCTACCCTCCCCCTCTATGCTGACCCCCTTTACAACCATGTCAGGAAAGCCGGCAGAATCCCCCACCCTGCCACTGGGTCAGAGGAGAAAAGTGATGACAGTCACTGCAGGCTGGACCGCAAGGAGGGAGCCTGCCTGGGTGGAGGCCAAGGGGCAGAACTCGGCGCAGGGAAGGTTGGGGCAGGCGGCAAGGGGACCAAACCATCTCTGCAGCTGCAGGTGCAGAGAAGGAAAGGCGGGGAGTCAGGTCCCAAGCCCGACGTCAGGAGGCACCTCCCCCGGGGTGGGCAGTGGCCACCTGGTAAGGGACAGTCTGTGTACCTCTTGTCCACAGAGCATCTCACCAGAGCTCACGCGGCCCAGATGCCAGCCTGGACTCCATGCACACCCAGCTGGTCACTGCTGCCCGACAGGACACAGGGTCTTCCCAGATTGCACCTCCGACCCTTTACCTCAGCAGGCACCAGACCTTAGACCAGCTCTGTAACCCCCAGAGTACCGCCTCATGGAGGCAGGGACCCAGGGAACACACCCCATGGGGCTTTTAACGTTTCTGGGCGGGTGCCGCCGGAGGGCAAGCTAGACCATCACGCACCCGTGGGAATAATGAAGCCTCTGTCCACCCCCAGCGCACGTCCGGCACCACCCAATGGGCCCAGCCCCGTGGTGACATGACTGTCCCCCACTGGAGTCCTGCAGGACTGGGGCAGTGACAGCCCCCTCCCCAGAATGCCATGACCTTCCTGCTCCAGGGCATGGCCCAGGCCCCGAGAGTTCCTGCCCACCAGAAGGCCGCCCCGAAGGCTGCTCCCAGCTATGAGTGGCAGCTTCCTACAGAGGTGCCCGTTTGCCCTCAACCTGCCTCTTTGTTCCCTAAGCACAAGGAAGGGCCCTCAGAAGCCCCAGCCAGCCAGCCCTGGGACCAGGCCCAGGAGCATCTGCATTGTTTTTATCCTCACCCGAGGACACTTTTCCATATTTTGTTCAGATAGGGTGGGAGGGAGAGAGAGAGAGAGAGAGAGAGAGAGAGAGCGCGACAGAAACATCGACGTGAAAGGGACACATCGAGTGGCTGCCACCCGCACGACCCAACCAGGGCCGGGGACAAACTGCAACCGAGGTACATGCCCTTAGTGGGAACTGAACCCGGGTCTCTCTGGACGGCAGACCGACGCAGGCCGACGCTCTAACCGCTGAGCCAAACCGGCCAGGGGGTATCTGCATTTTTTTAGCTCTTTTTTAAAAATCCTCACCTGAGGATACTGTTTCAAATATCTTCAGATAGAATGGGAGTGGGAGAGAGAGAAAGAAACATTGATGTGAGAGGGACACATCAACTGGCTGCCTGCCACATGACCCTGACCAGAGCCGGGAACAAACCACAACTGAGGCACATGCCCTTGACCAGAATCGAACCTTTGACTCTGGTCCACGGATCACTCTCTAACCGCTGAACCAATCCAGCCAGGGCACATCTGCACTGTCTTAAGCACTGGGCAGGCGGGGGGAGGGGGGAGTAGCCAGCCCAACCCTCACTCCAGGGGAACAGCAGAGCCCCAGGACAGCGGGGAGGAGGGGAGAGGGTAACACCCAGCCCCCCGGGAGAGGGAGACAAGCCATCACATCCCCACAAATGACCCAACAGCACCCACTGGCTCTCCGCCAGCACCAGACCTCAGGCAGGGCCCACAGCCCGCACCAGGCCAGCTCTGCCCCCTGGCTGCCACACGTGGGCACAGACCTGAGGCCCATCCACGGCCCCATCCCAAGATGCGGGCCCCACTGCACTGTCTGCGCGGGTTTTCCCCGAACCCCAGCAGCCAGAGAACAAAGCACACTTTCAGACCGCCAGGTGTGCTGTTTTCATTTGAATTTCCAAAGAACAATATAAGAGTCTTAAAATACTTCAAATAATCCAGCAATTCCTGTGGAATCCATGCTAAAGAATTAATTCTAATTATGAAGAACGCAGACGGTGCCCTGGCCGGTGCCGCTCAGCGGTTAGAGCATCGGCCTGAACGCCAAAGGGTCGCAGGTTCAATTCCCAATCAAGGGCACGGACCTGGGTTGCAGGTTCCATCCCTGGCCGTGGTCGGGGCGCGTGCGGGAGGCAATCATCTATGTGTCTCTCTCACATTGATGTTTCTCTCTCTCTCCCTCCCTCCTACTCTATCTGATAAGAAGTAGAAAAATGGCCCTGGCCGGTTTGGCTCAGCGGTTAAAGCGTCGGCCTGTGGTACAGAGAGACCCGGGTTCGGTTCCCGCTAAGGGCACGTACCTCGGTTGCAGTTTGTCCCTGGCCCTGGTTGGTCGTGCGGGTGGCAGCCACTCGATGTGTCCCTTCATGTCGATGTTTCTCTCTCTCTCTCTTCCTCTCTCTCCCTCCCACTCTATCTGAACAAAAAATGTCCTCGGGTGAGGATAAAAAAAAAAAAAAAAAAAAAAAAAAAAAAAAAAAAGTAAAAAAAATGTCCTCGGGTGAGGATAAAAAAAAAAAAAAGTCAAAGGGAAAAAATATCCTTGGGTGAGGATTACCAAAAAAACGCAGGCGATGCTACAGCGGCCACACCTGGGAATAAGTGTGTCCAGCAGGAGCAGACTCGCGCCCTGTCACATCCGAATGTCCAGGGACAGCTGCTCTCCTACACAAAGTGCAGAACACCCGACAGGGGGCGGGGGAGCCCGGACACATGATCCGCATGCGTGCAGATCCTCAAACACATCGATGCATCGCAATGAATTCGGGAGGGAGCACAGGGCTGCTGTTTCCATGGGGAACGAGCGGTTTTTTTGTTACACCTTTTCTCGTTCATTTTCAAATAATCCACTTTAAGGAGAGGGAGACAGTCTGGCTGGAGTGGCTCAGCAGGCTGGGCGTCATCTTCTGCACTGAAAGTCGCCAGTTGGATTCCCACTGGGGCACATGCCTGGGTTGTGGGTTCGATCCCCAGTCGAGGCACGAACAAAAGACACCCGATCAATGTTCCTCTCTCACGCCGATGTTTCTCTCTTCTCTTGCTTCCTCTCTCGAAGCATGTCCTTGGGTAAGGATTTAAAAGAATTTTTTTTTTTTTTTTTTATCCTCACCCGAGGACATTTTTCCATTTTTTGTTCAGGTAGAGTGGGAGGGAGAGAGAGGAAGGGAGAGAGAGAGAGAAACATCGACGTGAAGGGACACATAGAGTGGCTGCCACCCGCACGACCAACCAGGGCCGGGGACAAACTGCAGCCGAGGTACGTGCCCTTAGCGGGAACCGAACCCGGGTCTCTCCAGACCGCAGGCCGACGCTCTAACCGCTGAGCCAAACCGGCCAGGGCTAAAAGAAATTTTTTTAAGGAGAATGGATTAAGTTCTTGCATTTTCAGGAGGAGAGGGTCAATGAGGGGGAAAGAGGGGCTATCTTTATCCAATAATAAAGACTTAAAAAATAATTGCACCTTCATACTGCACAGCTAGTCAATGACGTCACTGAAGTTTTCTTTGTTTTGTTTTCTGTTTTGTTGTTAATCCTCACCCGAGGATATTTTTTCCCATTGATTTTTAGAGAGAGTGGAAGACAGAGAGAGGCAGGGAGGGGGAGAGGGAGAGGGAGGGAGGGGGGGAGAGAGAGAGAGAGAGAGAGAGACATTGATGTGAGAGACACACATCGATTGATTGCCCTTGACACCCACCCTGACGGGGCTGTGGATGGGACATGCCCTTGACCAGGAATCGAACCCACAACCCTTCAGTGCTCAGACTGATTCTCTAGCCACTGAGCACACCAGCCAGGGGTCACACAGGAGGCAGGAGGGTAGCCGGGAGGGTGGCTGGACACTGGGCTCAACCAGCCACCCTCTGCCCACTTCTCCCAGATCTGGCTGGGGTGCCGTTCCTGAGGCCAGCCCCAAGCCGCCCATTCCCACAGTTCACAGCCCCGGCTGCCTCCTGCAAGTCTCAGGCAGGCCTCCCCACCACACTGGGCCCTGTCCCCACACTTGGCTGCATGTCGCCAGGGGCCAGGCAGCAGGACATCTGGACGCCCGGAGCAAGTGCCCTGCATGGGGAAGAAGGAGAGCAAGGTGGGCCCTGCGGGAGGGGGCAGGGGAGGGCCAGGAGGCAGGAGACCCCGGGAAGGGCCCAGCCCACGAGGAAGATGAGCCTTCCCAGCAGCCTCGGGCACCTTGTGATCCCATGGGGCGCCTCGCAGCCCAGCCTCCTGGAGACGAGCGTGTAATTAAATTAATCCCAGGGTTTGCAGTAATGAGGACAGGAGCCTCGAGGGAGGGAAGCATCATTTCCCGGCTTCGCTGCTTGTAGGGAGAACAAGGCGGGTGACTACGGAAGGGACTCCAGGCTGGGCTGGCCAAGGTGTCCGCTCAGACCAACTCCGGGGGCTGTATGACACAGCTTCCATCTCGGGGGGCGCTCCCTGCAACATGCTCGCTTCCAGGAGCCAGACACCAGCCCTTGCTTTGCCCTCCTCGCGGACCCTCTGCAGCTGAGGCGGGCAGGAGTCCCCAGTCTGCCGGGTCTGGGAGCCCCTACCCACTGGCGCCGTTAGGGTCCAGCCCAGGAGCCCGGTGCTGAGTCCTGGCCTGACCAT